TCTCTAAGCATGGAAAAATTCTGGGAGAGGAGCTGGGAATGGACAAGGAGCTCCTCTCCCCATGGCCAGGCTTCTCCCACATCTTATCCCACTATAGGAACATCCAAGTAGTCCAAGGAAAAATATTGCCATGGGATCATCCCAGAGATCTGAAGAAAAAGGTTGGGAGCTCAGCAGAAATTTGTCTTTCAAAAATCTGGATCCACAGATGGAGAGGTGTGGATCCATGGTCAGAGAGACGTGGATCCATAGTCAGAGGTGAGATCCATATTTGGAAAGGTGTGGATCCGTATTTGGATAGGTTTGGATCCATGATTGGAGAGGTGAGTCCATGGCTTGGAAAGGGGTGAATCCATGGCTGGAGATGTATGGACTCACAATAGGAGATGGGATCCATATTTGAAAACGTGGGGAACCATGGTTGGAAAGGAGTGGATCCACAACTGGAGAGATGTGGATCCATGATTGGAGAGGTGTGGATCCATGATTGGAGAGGTTTGGATCCATGGTCGGGGATGAGATCCATATTTGGAAAGGTGTGAATCCATGATTGGAGAGGTTTGGATCCATGGCTGGAGAGGTGTGGATCCACGATTGGAGAGGTGGATCCATGACTGTAGACATGTGGATCCATGGTTGGAGATGTGAATCCACAGCTGGAAATTCGCAGATCCATAACTGGAGAGCTGTGATGGTCCCTCCATCCCAGCGGGATCCAGGTCTATCCCAGCAATACCAACCCAGGGACCACCTGAATTCCTTCCCTGCTGCTCCTGCACCTCCAGCCCCTGGAATCTGGGAGACTCCGGAGCGGGACACTCACCCTTTGACGTAGATGTCGCTCATCTTCTCCCCGGTGATGCTGAGGTCATCCAGGATCACATCCTTGGTGTTCCAGATGATGCAGCGCAGGTAGAACCTGGAAAATCCCGGGAATAAAACCATGGGAAGGTGGGAAACTCATCCAGCTGGAAGTCCCACTGAGGGATTTCCCCGTGGGAGCAATTTTCCCTGGAGATGATCCCACACCTGTCCCTCATCCAGGTGGGTGAATCCATCCCCACCCGAGGCTTCCAAGCATTCCCAACTCCTTTCCCAAACAAAAGATGCAGAAGAAATGGGAAGTTACCTCTTGGCTTTGCGTGGAGTGACGTTGAAAGGGGGGCCGGGATGTCCCAGGGATTTGGGAAAGAGATCCACCCACATCTGGAGCTTTCCCTGCATGGAAAAACAGAGCCCTGAAAATCTGGGAGATTCCAAACTGGAGCACCTGAACCTCCCCAGGGAGATCCTTGGGTGGGGGGGATTCCTCAATGGAAAAGTGGCATTAAAGGTTATTTTGAAATTATTTTAAGGATAGTTGGGAATGTGTTGATGGAAGTAAATCCTGAGGAACAGCTGAGGGAGGTGGGAAAGGGCCTGGAGCACAAGGAAAAGTTAAGGGAGCTGGGAAAGGGGCTCAGCCTGGAAAAAACAAGGATCAGGAGGGACCTTCCAGCTCTCCACAACTTCCTGAAATGTTGGAACCAGGTGGGATTTGGGATCTGCTCCCAGGGAATAACAGGAAAAGAGGGAACAGCCTCAGGCTGGGCCAGGGGAGACTCAAGTTGGACACCAGCAGGAATTTCCTCATGGAAAGGGCAGTCAGGCCTTGGAATTGCCCAGGGAGGTTTGGAATCCCCATCCCTGGAGGTGTCCAAGGAATTCCTGGATGTGGCACTCAGTGCCAAGGTGGGGATTGGGCACAGCTCAGACTGGATGATCCTGGAGGAATTTTCCAACCTCAGTGATGCCGGGATTCTGGGAGAAGAATTCTAAGTAGGACTTTTAGACCAAAAATGTAAAATTAAATTAAATTAAACTAAATTAAACTAAATTAATTTTAAAATGGGAGCAGATGCTGAAGGGAATGACCACCTCTCCTCCCTGGCAACATCCCTTATCCCAGAGCAAACATTCCCAGCAGGATTCTCCCCCTGGATACAGCTGGATCGGGAGATGCCGCTCCTGGGCTCATCCCGGCCACATTCCAGGACCCACCTGCTCGATGTCGGGCTGGAGGGGGCTGTAAAGGCGCCGGGTCTCCACGTGCTCCGGAACCAATCCCTGCTTCTGGAGGGCGGCCAGCGCGAGCCGCTCCTCCACCGGCCCCAGGTGCGGATTCGGGGGTTTTCCATCCTCTGCCACAGGGAAAACGGAAAAAAAACAAACAGGGAATCCCACAGGGATGGATTTTGGCCAGGAAGAGCTGGAGCAGCACAGCCTCCATTCCCAAATCCATCACCACAAACCATCCTGGGCACAGGGACACCATTCCCAGCAGGAAAACCAATGGAGACCCTCATGCAACCACCCCACAAATCACAGCCAGGGAAACGTGGCAAGGATCCAGTTGGATCCCATGGAAAGGAGAATCCAGTGATGGATCCCACTCCTGGATCCAGCTCTCCTAAAGTCCTGGAAATCTGCATTCCCATCAACCCTCTGTTCCCACTCCCAAGAGCTTATCCCAGAGTTTAAAGTCATCCAGGATCTTCAGCTGGGTAGACAGGAATGAGCTCCTGGTGGGATCCCATTTCTTCTCTGCAGGATTTGGGGTGAAAGATGGGAATGGGAGGAGGAGGAAGGACATGGAGAAACCACCAGCACAGCCTGGGGGTTGTTCCAAGTTCCTACTCCTGTCCAAGTCCCTGCTCCAGTCCCACCAGGATATTTGTGGTCCTCCATCCACGGAAGACTTGGAATTATCTCCTCCTCCTCACCTGCTCCACACATCTCCTGATCCTGCCACAAATGGACCAAGATTCCTCAATAATGAACAGTCCTGCTTTCTGTTCCCAGTCAGGATCCATCCATCCATCCATCCATCCATCCATCCATCCATCCATCCATCCATCATCCATCTGTCCATCCCAGTCCTGCCTCCCCATCCCATTCCTGGACATGATGTCGTATCCTTGGATATCAGGGAAGTGGTGAAGTCCCCACCCCTGGAGTTTTCCAATGAACAACCAGACATGACACTCGGACAAGGTTGGACTCGATCTTGGAGGTCTTTTCCAATCTGAATTCTGGGATTCCAGGATCTTCAAGGTCTTTTCCAACCTAAAAGATTCCCTGACTCTCTGAGTCCAACCCAAGCAATCCCAAAATTCCAGGCTGGGGTTGGTGGATTTCACTCTGCTCGTGCACCTTCCAGGACAATTGAAACAAAAAGTGCTCCATAAATATTATTCCATAAATATTATTCCATAAATATTATTCCAACTCCACCAAATCCTGGTGAGACATCCCAGCTCCTCCCTTGGAAAGGCAACGCTTAACTCCAGTCAGCTGGGCTAATTCCCAACAATTTCCCAAACCCTGGGATTCCGGCGTGTGCGCACACGTGCGGCTTCACGCGCCGGGAAAAGAGCGAGCCCCTCTCGGAGAACAACAAAATCTGGGAGTTATGGAATAACTTTGGGGCTTGTAAAATCCCAGCTCTCGTGTTTAACAGCTCCAGTTTATTCCTGGTCCGGCTCTGGAGCTCGCAGCTGGATTCCAGATCTGCTCCGGGTCAAGCCTCGGGCTCTGCTCTGCTGTTTGAACTCGCTGCCGTGAAAGCCGGAGAAGGTGACAGCACGGAGGGGGGGACACATTTTAACACCTCCTCAGCTCTCCCTGGAAAACTTTTCCATAAGGATTCCTCGCTTCCCTTCTCCTCTGGGGAAAGCCTGAATTCCTGAAGGAATCTGCGCTTTGTTTCCCAAGAGTGCAGAGAGGGATCAGCGCTGGGTTGTGCCTTGTGTTTGTGTCTCTGGTGACATCCTTGGGGTGGTGGCCTTAAAAAATCCAATCAGAATTTAGGTGGGATATTGGGAGTTCTTGGCTCTGAGGATGGGGAAGCCCTGGAGAATTCTCATAGCAGCTGTGGCTGCCCCTGGAAGTATCCAAGGCCAGGTTGGATCCACCTGGGATAGTGGGAGGTCTCCCTGCCCATGGAAGGGGTGGAACGGGATCATCTTTATGATCCCAACCTAAACCATTCCATGATTCCAAACTGCAGTTCCTGGGCCAGGCCTGGTGGGATTTCACCTCCTCCTGGGACTAAAAACCCTCTTTTTGTGCCTTAAAGCAGAGTTTTCCCAAAAAAAATCCTCCTGCCCCAGGAATGCTGGGTCAGAGGGAGGTGCCACAGGCAAACAAAAAACTCCTCCCCAAAAGTCCTGGACTTTTCTCCTTTTGTAGAAGTTGAGTTTGTCCCTTAATTCCCTCAAATCCCAAAAAGAATTCCCAGGTCTGTCTGTGGGACATTGTCTCCCTCTAGTGACCATTCCCAAAATGAGATTCTGATGGAAGAGCTGCTCTTGGAATATCAGGTTGGAGTGTGTCACTCCCAATCCAGGGGTGTTTGGTTTGGTCCAACTCAAGGTCAAAATTCCTGGATTGACATCTGGGTTCAATCCCAGGATTTGAGGCATGGACAACCTTGGGAATGGTTCAGAGCCAACCTGGACAGAGAGGAGGAGGAGGATGGGGACAATGCCATCGCTCACTCTTGGTGATGTCTCCATGACATCCAGCTCCATCCTTTTCTCTGGAGCAAGGAAATTCTGCTATCCCAAAGCATCCCTGACATCTTACCCAGCTCGGAGAGGACGTATTCCTGATCCCGGAAAATGATCCGGTCAGATTTGTAGGTGGGAGCTTTGTAGTTGTGCTGCAGGGAGAAGAGGTGGAGCAGCTGGGAAGGGCGGAGTTGGTCTCGCCACTGGTTGGGGCCGGAGCTGAAACCAAACAGAATCATGGAATCATGGAATGAGTTGGGTTGGAAAGAGGTTAAAGTTCATCCAGTGCCATGGGAGGAGAAACCTTCCACTATCCCAGGTGGATCCAACCTGGCCTTGGGCACTGCCAGGGATCCAGGGACAGCCACAGCAAATCTGGGAATTGCAGCCCAGGCAGGAATTCCTTCCCAAGATCCCAGCCCAATCTCCCCTTTCCCAGTGGGAGCCATTCCCTGTGTCCTGTCCCTCCAGGCCTTGTCCCCAATTCCAGCTCTCCTGGAGCCCCTTCAGGCCCTTCAAGGGGCTCTGGGCTCTCCCTGGAGCCTTCCCTTCTCCAGGTGAACATTCCCAGCTCTCCCATCATCCCTGACCTCATACCCCCATTCCCAGACTTCCAAAACTCTCCGATCTCTGGCACCTTTGGGATGGGAATGATCCTTTTCCAGAATAACACAGTCATGGATGGATGGAGGGATGGATGGATCCATCCCAGCCAGGAACTCCTACCCAAGATCCCACCCCAATCTCCCGTTCCTGGGATCCAGGGGATCTCTGGAGGTGCCCTCAGCACGAGGCCACCAGGAGACCCCTGGGACGGAACAGGATCTCCCTGCAGGAGAACCAGGACTCTGGGAAGCGCAGTTTCAGCCAGGTCCCCCAGGACAACCCTGCTGTCATCCCCTGGCCACCTCAGCATCCCAATCCCGGGATTTTGGGGCATTCCAAGCCCGGGGAGGGAGGTACCCACACGCAGTAGGTCTGGGGGAGGCCGCAGCGAGCCCCGAATTTGGACAGGAAGCGATTCTCCAGGTCGATGACGGTCTCGCCGATCTTCTCGTCCTTGGACAGCAGGTCGTAGTCGTAGAGGGTGACCTTGAGGTCCTTCTCCAGGGGCAGGGTGCAGCTCAGCTCGAACATCCTGGGAACAGGAACAGGCAAAGGAACGCTTGGGAAAAGAGGATGGCGCACCTGGAATTCCGCGGGAATGGATCCACGCCCCATCCCAACCCACCGGTGATGGGACGGATCAAAGCTTCCGTGTCACTGTGATCCAGCAGGGCCAGGGCTCTGCTGGCTTCGTTTATCAAGGAATCATGGAATGGTTTGGATCAGGAGAGACCTCAATGACCTTCGCATTCCACACCTCCCACTGGCCCAGGTGGATCCAACCTGGCCTTGGGCACTGCCAGGGATCCAGGGGCAGCCACAGCAAATCTGGGAATTGCAGCCCAGGCAGGAATTCCTTCCCAATATCCCAGCCCAATCTCCCCTTTCCCAGTGGGAGCCATTCCCTGGGTCCTGTCCCTCCAGGCCTTGTCCCCAATTCCAGCTCTCCTGGAGCCCCTACAGGGACTCTGAGCATTCCCTGGAATTTTCCCTTCTCCAGGGGAACATTCCCAGCTCTCCCAGCCTGGTTCTAGAGTAGAGGGGCTCCAGAATCCTGGAATGGGTTGGGTTGGAAGGACCTTAAATCCCATCTCATTCCCACCCCATCCATGTCCAGGGACACCTCCCACCGTCCCAGGTGGATCCATCCTGGCCTTGGACACTCCCAGGGATCCAGGGGCAGTCACAGCAAATCTGGGAATTCCAGCCCAGCCCCTCCCCACCCTCCCAGGCAGGAATTCCATCCCAATATTCCATTTAAATTCATCTCCCTCTCCATGTTGCTTTGTTGGGAAGGTGTCCCGGCATTGGTGGCCTGGACTGGTGGGAGCAGCCTTGGAAAATCCGATGGATTTTACGGGAAGTGCGATTTGATCCCTGTTTGTGCCCCCAGCCCCAGATTTTGGCAGCCTGGAGTTCATCCCATGGGGCAGCTCTGATTTCTGGGACAGGATCCAGGGAATGGCTGGAGCTGTTCCAGGGGAGGTTTAGGTTGGATATCAGGAAAAGGTTCCTCATCCAGAGGGTACTGGGGCACTGGAACAGCTCCCCAGGGAATGGCCACATTCCCAAGGCTGCCAGAGCTCCAGGGGTGTTTGGACAACGCTCCCAGGGACAGGGTGGGATTGCTGGGATCATCCTGGCAGGAGTCAGGTCAATGATCCTTGTGGGTCTTGTCCAACCCAGGGTATTCCATGATTCTCTGATTTTCTGGGAGACCATGGAGTTGAGCTTTCCTCAGTTTCCCTGCTCTTTTCCCAGACTTTTCCTGGAATAAACCATAATCCTTGGAATTTTATCCCACTTCTGAGGGAAACAACTCAATTATCCATGGATAATCCTTTTCCAGAACATTTGGAGGTGTCCCATTCCTCTCCATTCCTCAGGTTTCTCCTTCAGACATTGGATTAAAGTTCCTGGATGAGGAGACGTTCCCCAAACTCTTTCCCATCAAATGGGATGATCCAGACTCCTCCACTACGGAATTCCAGCTCTGCAATCCACAGCTCAGAAATCCCAGGGATTGATGAAGGAGAGCCAAGGGAATCATGGAATACATTGGGATGGGAGAAACCCTAAAATCCATCCCATTCCCAATCCCTGCCATGGGCAGGGACGCTTCCCACTGTCCCAGGTTGCTCCAGCCTGGAATTGGATGTTGGAATGGGAATTTCCACTTGGCCAGCACAATTCCCTCAATTAAATTCCCGAAAAATTCCATGGATCCCAAATGGAATCCACACTTACTTCCCAAAGACAGGCTCCAGAGTGCAGGGAAGGTAATTTTCCTGGTCATTGATGGATTTCTTTCCCACAGAAATCTTCACGTAGGGATCACACTGGAGGTGGGCACGGAAAGAAACACAAAAAACCCAAAAATGGAATTCCAGCCCCATCCTTTTCCATAGGTTGTTCCAAACCCCATCCCTCTCCCAAATAAAATGATTCTGGGAATTCAGCATCCATTTGGAAAGCAGGGAATTTAATTCGAGTTGGTTTTATTGCCAGGAGAAGGAAAAAAAAATTCAAGGGAAAGATCCAATTCCACCCAAAAGATTTTACCTGGATCTACAGGGATCCATCATCCCAGTGACATCCAAGAATTCCCTGGAAAATCACTCAGGCCAAGTTTTGTCATCACTTCTCCCAGATTTTCCTTTTCCTGCTGATTTGTTTTTTAAGGAATGGATGGGAAATGGCTCTCAGGGAATGGAATGACCACCCAGGTATTCTTGGGCTGGGACTTTTTCTCTGGAAAATTCCCATTCCAGAGGAAATTTGGGATCAAATTTGGGTTGGCTTGGGGTTTTAAATGGAAAAACTCCCTTTTTTTTTCTCCATCTTTTTAGTCCTCAGGAATTACTCATGGAAGACTTCTAAGGAATTGAACCCTTCCATTCCAAATCCATTTTTTAAAATGGGGAAAATTCAAAAGTGGTTGGAATTTCTTCATCTATTTTTCCATATATCCCATTTATATTTCCCATATTCTGTATATGTTTTTCCATATATTTCCATATCTATTCCTTATTTTCCCATAAGTTTTCCATGTGTATTTACTGTTTTCCTGTATATTTCCTCATCTATTTCCCACAGTGTTCCTTAAATTTTCCCCTCTTTTCCAGTGGAACAAAAAGACTTTAAAAGGGTTTTGCCCTTCCCTGAGTTGTGGATAGACACAATTCCTATTTTCCCAGAATTTCCCTCCCAGACCAGCAAACCTTTGCAAGAAGGAATTTTGGGAAGAACAGGATTTTATTTCCTTCAGCACCAAAACAACCCCAAAATAAAACCAAACCCAAAACTCATGGAACCAATGCTGAAAAATCCCAGCAGACAAAGGAAGAGCTGGTTCCTGGAATTCCCAGATATTCCAATGGAGGCAGAAAACAGAAACAAATTCCTAAATTTTAGAGCAAATATGTATATTTTGACCCAATTTTGACCCCATTTTAACCAAACTTTGACCCAATTTTGACCCAATTCTAACAAAATTTTGATACAATTTTGACCCAATTTTGACCTAATTCTAACAAAATTTTGACCCAATTGTGACCAAATTTTGACCCGATTCTAACAAAATTTTGATCCAATTTTGACCCAATTTTGACCCAATTTTGACCCAATTCTGACCCAATTCTGACCCAATTCTGACCCAATTCTGACCCAATTCTGACCCAATTCTACCAAAATTTTCACCCAATTCTGACACAATTTTGACCAAATTTTGATCAAATTTTGACCAAATTTTGACCCAATTTTGACCCAATTCTGACCCAATTCTGACCCAATTCTGACCCAATTCTGACCCAATTCTGACCCAATTCTGACCCAATTCTGACCCAATTCTGAC